TCTGTAGAATCCCCTCACTGATTACACTGTAAGTGATAATCCACCTTAACCAAAATCAAAGTAGACTATCACTCATATATATATATATATATATGCAGGGTTCCCAGCGTTCGGGACGGTCCGAACATCCGAACCCGAACGCCCGAACGTTCAGGACCCCCTCTCGTTCGGCCGAACGCGGCCCAAAAAAAAAAAAAAAGAATTCCAAAAAAATCTGAGAACAAAAATGTTATGCAGAAGTATGAGCTGAACAACATTTGCCTCAACGTTACATCCAAATTCTTTACCAAATTTGAAATAAAAATCAAATACGAAAAATAAAAAATAATAATGAAAATTAGAAACATTCAAAAAATAAAACGAGAATCATCGGAGAATGAAATTATTGAGTGGGCGAGCACGTTTTTGACACCGCCATCTTTGGCGATTTTTCATTTGTTTTTGGCTTTGACAAAGGCCATGAAAATTTATTTATGTGTATCTTACATAATAGAGAACCTACAAATAACGTGAAATAAGGTTTTAAAAAATATATACTTTTTCATGCCCCGAAATAAAGGGAAAACAAAAGTGAAAAGAGAGAAAAAACAAATTAGTGAGTGGGCAAGCAAGTTGTGACACCACCATCTTTGCCGATTTTTAATGCCTTTAAAATTAAGAGGGAGATACCTTACATTACAAAGAACTCACAAAAAAAACATTCAGGAAAAAAAAAAAAAAATTAGGTGCCAAAATAATTTTCTGCCCCGTACGGGGACCCGAACACCCAAACATTTGGGGGTCAGCTTAGAGGCCTCCGTATGTTCGGCCTGGCAATGTTGTAGCGGTGGATTCAATCTATTTTGGTCATCCTAACGATGGAACTACCCCCCCCCTCTCTCTCTCTCTCTCTCTCTCTCTCTCACACACACACATACACACACACACACACACACACACACAGTGTATATTTCCATGTTGTAGTGGTAGATTCATTAGATTTTGCTCTCTCTCTCTCTCTCTCTCTCTCTCT